CCAGCAGGGGGCTCCGCACACACACAACCACACACACACACACACTGATCCTCTCCAGCAGGGGGCTCTGCACACACACACACACACACACACACTGATCCTCTCCAGCAGGGGGCACCGCACACACACACACACACACACACACTGATCCTCTCCAGCAGGGGGCTCCACACACACACACAGATCCTCTCCAGCAGGGGGCACCGCACACACACACACACACACACACACACACAGATCCTCTCCAGCAGGGGGCTCCGCACACACACAACCACACACACACACACACTGATCCTCTCCAGCAGGGGGCTCTGCACACACACACACACACACACACACTGATCCTCTCCAGCAGGGGGCACCGCACACACACACACACTGATCCTCTCCAGCAGGGGGCTCCACACACACACACACACACACACACACACACTGATCCTCTCCAGCAGGGGGCTCCGCACACACACACACACACACACACACTGATCCTCTCCAGCAGGGGGCACCGCACACACACACACACACACTGATCCTCTCCAGCAGGGGGCTCCACACACACACACACACACACACACACACAGATCCTCTTCAGCAGGGGGCACCGCACACACACACACACACACACACACAGATCCTCTCCAGCAGGGGGCTCCGCACACACACAACCACACACACACACACACTGATCCTCTCCAGCAGGGGGCTCTGCACACACACACACACACACACACACTGATCCTCTCCAGCAGGAGGCACCGCACACACACACACACACACTGATCCTCTCCAGCAGGGGGCTCCAGACACACACACACACACACACACACAGATCCTCTCCAGCAGGGGGCACCGCACACACACACACACACACACACACACACACAAGATCCTCTCCAGTAGGGGGCACCGCACACACACACACACACACACACTGATCCTCTCCAGCAGGGGGCTCCACACACACACACACACACACACACAGATCCTCTTCAGCAGGGGGCACCGCACACACACACACACACACACACACAGATCCTCTCCAGCAGGGGGCTCCGCACACACACAACCACACACACACACACACTGATCCTCTCCAGCAGGGGGCTCTGCACACACACACACACACACACACTGATCCTCTCCAGCAGGGGGCACCGCACACACACACACACACACACACACACTGATCCTCTCCAGCAGGGGGCTCCAGACACACACACACACACACACACACAGATCCTCTCCAGCAGGGGGCACCGCACACACACACACACACACACACACACACAGATCCTCTCCAGTAGGGGGCTCCGCACACACACAACCACACACACACACACACTGATCCTCTCCAGCAGGGGGCTCCGCACACACACAACCACACACACACACACACTGATCCTCTCCAGCAGGGGGCTCTGCACACACACACACACACACACACTGATCCTCTCCAGCAGGGGGCACCGCACACACACACACACACTGATCCTCTCCAGCAGGGGGCTCCACACACACACACACACACACACACACACAGATCCTCTCCAGCAGGGGGCACCGCACACACACACACACACACACACACACACTGATCCTCTCCAGCAGGGGGCTCCACACACACACACACACACACACACACTGATCCTCTCCAGCAGGGGGCTCCGCGCACACACACACACACACTCACACTCACACACTGATTCTCTCCGGCAGGGGGCTCCGCACACACACAACCACACACACACACACACTGATCCTCTCCAGCAGGGGGCTCTGCACACACACACACACACACACACACTGATCCTCTCCAGCAGGGGGCACCGCACACACACACACACACTGATCCTCTCCAGCAGGGGGCTCCACACACACACACACACACACACACACACAGATCCTCTCCAGCAGGGGGCACCGCACACACACACACACACACACACACACACACTGATCCTCTCCAGCAGGGGGCTCCACACACACACACACACACACACACACTGATCCTCTCCAGCAGGGGGCTCCGCGCACACACACACACACACACACACTCACACACTGATTCTCTCCGGCAGGGGGCTCCGCACACACACACACACACACACACACACTGATCCTCTCCAGCAGGGGGCTCCGCACACACACACACACACACAGATCCTCTCCAGCAGGGGGCACCGCACACACACACACACACACACACACACTGATCCTCTCCAGCAGGGGGCTCCGCACACACACACACACACACAGATCCTCTCCAGCAGGGGGCTCCACACACACACTCACACACACACACACACACACACTGATCCTCTCCAGCAGGGGGCTCCGCGCACACACACACACACACTCACACTCACACACTGATTCTCTCCGGCAGGGGGCTCCGCACACACACACACACTCACACACACTCACACACACACACAGGGGGCGGAGGGTCGCTAACCCTCCAGGATCGGCCTGGGGAATCTCAAGGGCCTGAAGATGAATCTTGAATTCGAGATGTCGCGGGATGCAACCACCGGCCAAGGACGACCCTACCGTGGGGGACAGGCAGGGGAGTGTCCCCCGTGGAGGACAGCGGGGGGGGGGGCTGGGATGGGGTGACCCTGGGTGGGCTCAGTGGGGGAGCAAGGAGCGGGGTGAGCCAGGGGGACAACACAAGGGGGGCAATGGAGGAAGGTGACTTTGAGGGGGGCAGCATGTGGGGAGGGGTGTGACCCCTTGGGGGGGGCAGCACATGTGGAGGCAGGGAGGGGGTAACCCCATGGGAGGAGGGGGTGACTCGGGGGGGAACAGAGACCCGATGGAGGTAGGGGTGATCCCGTGGGGGGGGCGATCCAGGGGGGCAGGGAGGGGGTGACTTCATGGGGGGAGGGATGACCCTGTGGCGGAGGGGCTGATCCCGGGGAGAGGGTGACCCCCCGTGGGGGATGATCCCAGGAGGAAGGGGGAGCCCTTGGGGAAGGAAGGGGGTGACACTGTGGGGCAGCAGTGATCCAGGGGGCAGGATGGGGGTTACTCTGTGGGGGGGGGGTGATCCGGGGGAGGGAGTGACTCTGTGGGGGGAGGGGTAACCCTGGGGGTTGACTCGGTGCGGGGAGTGGTGAGCCCGTGGGGGAGAGTATGATATTGGGGGGGCGGGAAGGGGTGACCACGTGGGGGGAGGGGGAGCCCTTGGGGAAGGAAGAGGTGACCTCGTGGGGGAGGGGCTGATCCCGGGGGGGCGGGGAGTGGATGATTCCGTGGGGGGAGGGGTGACCCCGTGGGGGAGGGGCTGATCCCGGGGGGGCGGGGAGTGGGTGATTCCGTGGGGGGAGGGGTGACCCCGGGGGGAGGGGGCTGATCCCGGGGGGCGGGGAGTGGGTGACGCCGTGGGGGGAGGGGTGACCCCGTGGGGGGAGGGGCTGATCCCGGGGGGCGGGGAGTGGGTGATTCCGTGGGGGGAGGGGTGACCCCGTGGGGGGAGGGGCTGATCCCGAGCGGGGGCGGGGAGTGGGTGATTCCGTGGGGGGAGGGGTGACCCCGTGGGGGAGGGGCTGATCCCGAGCGGGGGCGGGGAGTGGGTGACGCCGTGGGGGGAGGGGTGACCCCGTGGGGGAGGGGGCTGATCCCGAGCGGGGGCGGGGAGTGGGTGACGCCGTGGGGGGAGGGGTGACCCCGTGGGGGGGGGGCTGATCCCGGGGGGGGGGCGGGGAGTGGGTGATGCCGTGGGGGGAGGGGTGACCGCGTGGGGGAGGGGCTGATCCCGAGCGGGGGCGGGGAGTGGGTGACGCCGTGGGGGGAGGGGTGACCGCGTGGGGGAGGGGGCTGATCCCGGGGGGGGCGGGGAGTGGGTGACGCCGTGGGGGGAGGGGTGACCCCGTGGGGGAGGGGCTGATCCCGAGCGGGGGCGGGGAGTGGGTGACGCCGTGGGGGGAGGGGTGACCCCGTGGGGGAGGGGCTGATCCCGGGGGGGGCGGGGAGTGGGTGACGCCGTGGGGGGAGGGGTGACCGCGTGGGGGAGGGGCTGATCCCGGGGGGGGCGGGGAGTGGGTGACGCCGTGGGGGGAGGGGTGACCCCGTGGGGGAGGGGGCTGATCCCGGGGGGGGTGGGGAGTGGGTGACCCCGTGGGGGGAGGGGCTGATCCGGGGGGGCGGGGAGTGGGTGATTCCGTGGGGGGAGGGGTGACCCCGTGGGGGAGGGGCTGATCCCGGGGGGGGGGCGGGGAGGGGTTGTGAAACACCCCCAATCCTTGGGGATGATTGGTCATATTTTTATTATTATATTAGCCTAATTAATATTAATTACTTTGCATAAATTTGCATCTGTAAGGACGGAAGAGGCGCAATTTGACGGTTGCTATGGTAACCATGGCGGCCACCCGGCTTCCGAGATGGCGGCCCTGCTCCCAGCGGAGGGACACTCTCTCCTCCCGGCTCCCGCTCTATGGTTCTCCCAACGGGTTGAAAGAGGGCAGGCCGGAGGGGCGGTTAGAAGTGCGCATGCGTGCAGTGGAGATTGGTGCGCGTGGAGAATGGCACGCATGCTCAGTAGGGAACCCAGCGCGGTGGAAGGGCACATGGGCACCCTGTAATAATGAATGGAGACGGGGGGGGGGCTCCTGCGCGCATGCGCATCGGACCATTTGCGGCGAGCAATGAGGCAGGCGTTTTTCGGATGCGCATGCGCCTTGTATGGGTACCAGGATGGAACGAGGCAAGGTGCCTTGTGTACGCATGCGCATGGCACCGGTATGTGGGCAGGGGCCGGCTGCGAGGCGGGTTTGGTCCCGCCTCTGCGCACGCGCGCTGTCGGCATGGCGTGTGGGGTGGCCGGGCAGAGCTCCCGCGACTTGGCCGGCGTGTGGGGAGGGGTGGGGCCTTGCCGCTCTCGCACGTCCCTTTCCCAAGCGCGCCTGCGCCGCGATGGCCGCCGGGCCGGCGTGCCGGAGCTGCGCAGGCGCGGCGCCCTCTCGCGCAGGCGCGCTGCGGCGTGGGCGTCCCCCCTCGCGCCGCTGTCAGGCGGGGGGCCGCCTCGTTTGGGTGTGGGGAAGCATAAGTGCGCGTGCGCACTGCGGGCTGGGTTGCAGCAGCAGCAGCAGGCAGGCAGAGCCAAGCGGCGGCGGCAGCGGCGGTTGAGCTCGCGGTCGGGTGAGTGCGCGCGCGCGCGCGCGGCCGGCTGGCCCGTGCGCACGGGAGCGAGGCCGAGTGGCGGTTGGGCGGCCCCCCTCCCCCTCCCCCTCGTCGCGCGAGCGCGGCCAGGCCGCGCCGCCCCGCCCCTTCCCCCCCCGGCCCCACACCGCGTGGAGAGGCCTGGCTGAGGGGAGGGGGTTGGGGTTGGGCCCGGGGGGGCCCTAAGAGGGGGGGAGGGAGGCCTGGGGGTGGTATGGCCGTCCCCTCAGGGCTAGTGGGGGGGCTGGGGGTCCCCTCAGGGCTAGAGGGGGGCTAGGGGACCCCAACCCCGCCCCTAAGGGCTGTGGGGACTGGCGGGGTCCCCTAAGGGCTGGGGAGGAGCCCTTAGGGGACCCCAACCTTACCTCTAAGGCCTATGGGGGCTGGGGGGGTCCCCTAAGGGCTAGGGAGGCTATGGGGGTTGGGGGGGTCCCCTCAGGGATAGAGGGGGGCTAGGGGACCCCAACCCTGCCCCTAAGGGCTAGAGCAGGGTTGGGGTGGGCTGAGGAGCAGGGGGGTCCCCAAAGTGCTAGGGGGCAGGCTGAGGGGTCCCCAAAGTGCTGGGGAGGGGGTTGGGGCAGGCTAGAGGGGGACTCCTGGGGGGGCTGGGGTCCCCTAAGGGCTTGGGGGTCCCGTAAGGGCTGGGATCTGAGGGGGGCTTGCCTACCCCCTGGAGGGGAAGGAACCATGGAGGGGGAGTTTGAGTTCTCCTGGGAAGTTGGGGGGGGGGGGGTCTTGCTGTGGGGGATGGGAAGGTGGGCCTCCTTGAAAGGGAAGGAGTAGCTGTGATCTAGTTGGTGGTCCTTGGTTCCTCCTGATGGGGGGGGGGGGAGAAGGGGAGTTAAGGGTTTGGGCACCTCCGAGGGGGTGAGGGGGGGACTTGGGTCCTCGTAAGAGAAGGAGTTGGGGGGGTGGCCTTGGGTCCACTTGTGGAGGTGGATGGGGTCTGGTGGGGTCCCCCTGGGAACCAGGGAGAGGGGAGGGAGGAATGAGATCAGGTTAGCTGTGGGGGGAGGAGGCCCTTGGATTTCCTGACAGAGGGTTAGCTAAGGGGGCCCCTTATGGGGGCAGAGTGGGGAGGGGATGAGGAAGGGGGGGTTTGGGTCTCCTTAGAGTGGGGAGCAGAGGGGAGGGGTTGGTTCTCAATCATTTTAATTTCCTCCAGAGCAAGGCATAAAGGGGGTGAGGGGGACCGTGGGTTGCCCTAGAGTGAAGAGGATTTGGGGGAGGGTCCCCTTAGCAGGGTGGGGGATTGTAGTGATCTCTGTGGTTTTCCCCTATAGGATAGAGGGGTTTGGGGTGTGGGGGATTCCCCCTAGGGAGTGGGATGGGAGGAAGGAGAGTTGGGGGGGGCTGGCTGTGGGGATTGAGCAGGCCATCTCCCAGGGAGGTGTCAGGGTGTGGGGGGAATCCCTCTTGGGGTCACACCTCCTCCCCATGGACGATCCGCTGCCTCTGGGGGGAAGAACTGGGGTTCAGGGACTGGGGTCAGGACTATGAGGTGAAGGGAACTGATGAGGGGATAGATGGGGGAGACGCTCGCCTCCCTCTTTAAAGGAAGATCTCCACCTTTCCCCCCAAAAATGCGTCTGGAGAGCCTTCCTTTCACTGAAATTGGGCGGGGGAAAGGCGTCACTGCTGGTGGCTGGGCATTGCTTAAGAGACCCCCCCAGCCCCATGCTGTGGGTAGAGAAAATGGGGGTGACTGGTGCCTGGATCTGCACCGTGTCTTAGACCCCTTTCTTGAGGGGAGTCATTGCTCCCTTCAGTGTTGGGGTGGGGGGCTCTAGGGGTTGGAGGCCTGTTGTAAGGAGTATGATGTGGTTGGGGGGGGGTGCAAAAGGCCTCTAGAGTGAGGTAGGGCAGGGAAACTGAGGCAGTCCGGAATCTGCAGCAGGGTTTTGGGGCTATAGATTCCAGGTGGCTTGGGGGGTGCAAGGGGGGCCTCTACCATGGCCTAGGAGGGTTTTTAGAGGGAGATCAAGGCAGCGCTTTCCAGCACAGGGTCGGGGGGTGCCCTCCCTTGGTGCCAAAGTGGCCCTTGTAATAATTCCCAGGATTTGGGGGGCAGGAAGGCAAGTGGGGGGCAGAGAAGTGATGGATGAGTGGCATTGGGTACGCAGGGGGCAGCCGACCTCGACTGCGGGGAGCTGGGGCTCGGGCCGGGTTACAGCTGCAGCAGCCACCGAATGACGCATGGGGCAGAGCCGTGGGGCAGGGAGGGCCCTGGCTCCGCATGGGGCGTGTGTGGGAGGGAGCTGCCGGGCCACCGAGCCGGCCTGGTTCCTTCCCCAGTGCTCGGGGCAGGAACTTTTTTCAGCTGCTGGAGTTTCCCCCCCCCCCCCCCCCACAGCTGCAGACGGAAGCACGTGTGTGGAGCTGCGCGGCTGTCACCCGGCGTGAGCTATGGGGAGCAGTTGTGCTGATCAGTTACGGGGCGGGCGTGGGGGGGGGCGAGTTGAAAACCGCTGGGCCTGTGGGCCTTGTTTGCCGGTCATTACACCGACACACACAAGCCGGTCCCCTGCGATGGTGACGATCCGCTGCCTCCGGGAACCGTTCACCCTGGGGTCTTGGCCCCGCTCCCTGCAGCCTGCCTCAGGCTCCCCCCGGGGCGGGAGAAAGAGCCCCCGCCCCGTGGCTAGCGGGCCCTGCAGGGCGCTTGCCTGCTCTCGCCTTTTCTGGCGTGTCACGGCGCTTGGCAAGCAGACCTGGCCGCCTTGCTCTGCTATGGTTGAACCTAGGTCAGTGATGAGTCATCTGGTCCTCGCCCCCACGCTGGGGGGGGGCAGGAGAGAAATCCAGGGCTGCTACCCATGCCCTGACTTGCTTTTGGGGGGGGATCTCTGAGAAGGGGGAGTTGGGAGCAGAGCTGGAGAACAGGTGCTGGGACTCGCCTCGAATGGGGGTGCCAGGATGCCTGGGTTCTCCGAATCGGCCCTTCATGGGTGGGGGGGGGTTTATCGCTCCATCCTAGAGGGGCAGATGGATGCCGTTAGCCCCGCAGTGGGGCAATGGGGAAGTGATTCTCCCAGCTTGCACATAACCCAATGGCAGAACCAGGGATGGAACCCAGGAGTCCTGGCTCCCAGCCCCCGGCTCTAACCACTAGACCCCACTCCCCTCCCGAAGGAGGAAGGGCTGTGAAGCAGGACTCCTGGGTTCCTCCCCACCCCAGCTATGCCACAGATGTGCCCGAGTGCCCCCTCTGCAGGCTGGCTCCTCCCTGTCTGCCCTGTGCCTGGGGCTCGCTGGGGGAGGGGAAATCCCGTGGGGCAGAGGTGACTCTGCTGGAGAGATTTCCCCAGCTGCCACGTGTGCTGCCCCCGGCCCCGTCCCTTCAGCTTCCTAATGCAAATACAGGACACTCGGCCTGGGAAGGGGTCCTCCCGGGAAGGGGGGACGTGGGCTAACGGGCACCCGGCCCTGCTGGCCAGGAGGGGGGAGCCGCTACGCGCACTGTGGGGGAGAGTTGGGAGCCCAGGTGGTTACTTAACCCAAATCCCTCTAAACCGGTGCTGCTCTGGACTCCAGTGTGTTAGCCCCCTGCTAGCCCAGCCCTGGGCTCCCTCACTCCTGACCTGCAGCCCCCTGCTAGCCCGGCCCTGCCCCAGCCCGGCCGGTGCCCCTCACTCCCGCCCCAGCCTGGCCAGTGCCCCCTCATTTCTGACCCACAGCCCCCTGCTAGCCCAGCCCCAGCCTGGCCGGTGCCCCTCACTCCCGACCTGCAGCCCCCTGCTAGCCTGGCCGGTGCCCCTCACTCCCGACCCGCAGCCCTCCGCTAGCCCGGCCCTGCCGTAGCCTGGCCAGTGCCCCTCACTCCTGACCCGCAGCCCCCTGCTAGCCTAGCCCAGCCCCGCCCCAGCCTGGCTCCCTCCTGTCCCCCAGCTGGCTGCTGCCTCTCCCCAGAGCTGGTGGCAGCCAGGTGCTCTGGCCCCTCGTGGGGAATGTGCCTGGGTTGCCCTACACTTGGTGGGCTCGCGATGCCAGGCCACCCTCCCCATATCTCTAGGGCTGGGCCTGCCTCCTCTGTATTCTCCTGTCTCTGAGGTCATGGCGGGATCGGGGGCACAGAGAGGAGGGTCTGAAACCAGGTAGGGCCAGGGTGAGGGATGGGGGGCTGGATCTGGGGGGGGGCTGTAGGTTGCCCCTTGCCTGGGGTGGGGGCTGATCATTGATCAAGCGTTGGACTGGGCCTCGGAGCTGCAGGCCCTGGGTGCGTTGTTCTACCCCCTCCCTCTACATGCTCTAGGACAGGGACTCTCTTGTTGTGGGGCTGGGCAGCACTTACTGGGGTGTGGGGGAGGGCAGAGGGGTCTGCGTAATCCCTGGTGTGATTTGGTGGGGGCAGGTCTTGGGGGGGCAGGGGAGGGTTGTGTAGCCCCTGGTGTGGTGAGCGGCCCAGATCTCAGGGTGGAGGGGGTCTGCCTAAGCCTTGGTGTGGGGGGGGGGTGGGACCCAGATCTTGGTAAGGCAGGGTATGTGTAATCCCTGGTGTGGTGGGGGGCCCAGATCTTGGCGTGGAGGGGTCTGCAGAAGCCCTGGTGACGGGGGGGCCCAGATTTCAGGGGTGTCTGTGTGTGTGTGGTGTCTGCATAAGCCCTGGTGTGACGGGGTGCGGCCTGTGTAAGCCCTGGTGTGATGGGGTGGGCCCCAGATTTTGGGGGCAGGGGTCTGTAAGCCCTGGTTTGATGGGGGCGGGGGTCTCCGGGTGTTACTGTAACCTGCCTGCTCTCACCCCCCTCCTCTCCCCCCCCTTAGTTCCTCTAACGCCCGATCACCATGGCCGATGACCTGGACTTCGAGACCGGCGATGCCGGGGCCTCCGCCACCTTCCCCATGCAGTGCTCGGCCCTCCGCAAAAACGGGTTCGTGGTGCTCAAGGGGCGCCCCTGCAAGATCGTCGAGATGTCCACCTCCAAGACCGGCAAGCACGGCCACGCCAAGGTATGGGGCTCTGCCCGCCCTGCCCTGCGCCCGCTCGCTGGGGGAGAGCTGTGTGCCCCGGCACCATGGGTTGCCCGCAGATCTCAGGGTAGGACCCTCCCGGTGGGGCGGCTGATGCCCAGCCCCCAGGGTGACTCTGTCCTGGCTCCCCCCAGGTGCACCTGGTTGGCATCGACATCTTCACCGGGAAGAAATACGAAGATATCTGCCCTTCCACCCACAACATGGATGTGCCCAACATCAAGAGAAACGACTTCCAGGTAAGGGGAGGTGCCCGCGGACTAACGAAGATCTGGGGCGCTCCCGTCAGTTTCGCCGAACCCCTTCCCAGAGGTGGCGTTTGCTGGGCCTGGCTAAGGGGCCCCCCTCTTGCCTTGCAGCTGATCGGGATCCAGGACGGGTACCTGTCCCTCCTCCAGGACAGCGGGGATGTGCGGGAGGACCTGCGTCTGCCCGAGGGGGACCTGGGCAAAGAGATCGAGCAGAAATACGACTGCGGAGAAGAGATCCTGGTAAGGGGGGGGCGGGGGGAGCAGGTAAGGGGGCAATGCTGGTGGCCCCCCCAGATCAAAGGAGCAGGGGATTAACACCCCTTTGCTGTCCAGTGTGGCTCAATCTCACCAGTGGGCTCCGGCTCTCGGCAAACTCAGGCAGCTCTGAGTGATGAGCTCGGGCTCAGCTGTGACCCCCGTTACCATAATACCCGGGTCCCCTGGCGGCAGATCTCAAAGCACCTCACAGAGATGGGGAAACTGAGGCCCGGAGGGGAGGGTGGTGACTTGCCAAGGGTAACCCCACCAGCTGGGACTCGAATCCAGGGCCCTGTTTGCTCCAGAAGCATCTAGAGGCTGCCCCCCCCACCCCAGGAAGGGAGCTGGGGGGGGGGGGGGGCAGGATCTTCTGGAGCATGGCCCCCTAACCCCTCTCCTCCCCCCAGATCACTGTGCTGTCCGCAATGACCGAGGAAGCTGCTGTCGCCATCAAAGCCATGGCTAAATAAAGGAACCACAGGTGGGTGCTGGGGGGGTGGGGGCATGGGGGGGGGGCATGGAACGGACATGGGGGGCGGGGAACCTGGACCTCCAGAGCCAAAGGCACTGGCCACTTGTGGGCCTTGCTAGCCAAGCTTGGGGCAGGCCTGCCAGCCTCTGCAGGGCCCAGCTGCTGGGGGGTGTGTGGTGGGGGGGAGGCAGTGGCCCCCCCGTAATTGCTCCTTCCTTTTTCCAGGGCGGCGACAGCAACTTTTACTACAAACCAGAGAATTGCAACCCCCCCAAAACCGGCTCCATGTGGCTCAGCCCCCCCAGATCTCAGCCCCCCCATGAAACTCCCTAGCCCCTGCCCCCGGGGAATTAAAACGAAGGAACAAAAATCCTTTTAATTTGGTCTTTTTGTTGGTTCTGGAAGCTGATTCTCCCCCCTGCCCTCCTGGGGGGGGGGGTTGTTTTTGGCTCCCCCTTTTTCCCCCCTGCTCCTCCCCTGGGGTGCTTGGAACACTACATCGGTGTGAGGAAGGGGGGGATTATTTAAAGGGGGGGTTGAGAGAAATTGACAGAAGTGGGGTGGGAAGCCTCCCTAAGCATTTTTTTAATGTCCTCCCAAACCCTGCAGAGGGTGGGGTCCCCAAAACCTGGCCATTGTGGATCTCAAACCAAGAACCCCCCCAAAGTCCCTGCAGATCTCAGGTCCCCCCAAATCTAAGATCCCTTTGAAAAATGGGTGGGGGGGTGCCCCAAACCCAGGAGTTCTTGGGTCCTTTTGAAAATGGAATCTCAGCCCCCTCCCCCTGCAGGCCAACACCCCCCCAGCCCCCCTTTTTAGCCTCTCCTAGGGCAAAAAGGCTAGTGAGTGACTGGGGTGGGGTGAGGGCGCAGCATCCTGCTGCCTCCTCATTGGTCGAGGTGACCTGAGCTGTCTGCTTCCTGTTGTCTCTCCCCCCAGCTGTGGGGCAGCTGTTGCCAGGGGTGATGCCCCCATTCTGGCCCCACCCCCCCCTAAAAGGGCACCTGTCTGCCCTGCTGTTTGGAGGACGGGGCCCACCTGGCTGAGGGGCGTAGCTGCTCCCCTTCCCTACTGCTGCGCGGGACCCAGGGGTGTACCCAGCACCCCCCTGGTCACCTCCCTGCTGGAGCTCTCGGGGTGGGGGCAAAGGGGGGGTGTCCTGGGTCACCCACTAGCCCCCCTTCTCTTGCCCCCTTCTCCAGGTTCATCTCTCCCCCCGCCCTGCTGTCAAGGGGTCAGCACCCGCCCCCCACACATTTGTTAATCAGCCTCAATAAAAGTTTAATACGAAGCTCTGGGGTCTTGTCTCCTGCTGTGTCCGGTTCTGGGGGGGAGCGAGTGGGGAACCCCACTGTCTCCCTCTCTTCCCCATCCCCCACCTGGGGTGTTCATTTCCTGTCCTAAATGGGGGGAGGGACTTGCCCCTGCAGGAGGGGAGAGGCCAGCTCCCCTCTGTACCCCTCCCCTTTCACATCCTGCATTGCAGAACTGGGGGGGCTGTGTTCCTGGCCCTGATCTCATATATAGGGTGTCTCTGTCATGGTGGGTTTGATGGGGGGACCCTGATTTCAGTTGGGGGAGGGGTGTCTGGGCAGCACCTGGCACAAGGGGGGGCCCAGCTCATGGCAGGGGCCCCTGATTTCAGGGGGGGGGCAGTCTGGCCCTTAGTGCCCCCTGCGTTTGGCTGGAGGCGGAGCTCAAAGCCCTGAGTTTTAATGGGGCCCCAGTGTCTCCTCTCCCTACCCCCCCATGCCCAGCTGGGAATGAAACACTGGTGGGAAATCCATGTGGTTTGGGGGGCACAGGGGAGCGATTCCTCCCTCACCCCCCAAAATCTGAGCCTGGGGGCTGGAGCCCACCCTGCCTGCTGCCCTGGCTCCAGCTCCTCTGCTCGGGGGCCGGATGCGCTTCCCCTGCGGGCTGAGGACAGGGGGGGACCCCACCCCCAGGCCTGAGGCTGAGCCCTGGCCTGCCAGGTGGGGGGTGTGTGTGTGTGGGGGCAGCTCCTGCAGAGGTAGTCTCTCTGAGAGGCCTGGGGCAGCCAGTGACTCCTTCTTGTGGCCAGCTTGGGGGGAGGCCCCCCCTCAGGGCAGCAGCTATGGGGGGGCTGAGTTACATGTCAGGGCAGGATGTGGCAGACAGGGGGTGGGGCCAGGCATCCCCAGGGGGTGGAGTTACATGCCAGGGCAGGATGTGGCAGACAGGGGGTGGGGCTAGGGACACCATGGGGGCAGAGTTGTGACAGAAGGGGGGTGGGGCCAGACACACCAAGGGGGGGAGTTATGTGACACAGGGGGTGAGTTACATGCCAGGGCAGGATGTGGCAGACAAGGGGTGGGGCCAGGCATCTCCAGGGGGTGGAGTTACATGCCAGGGCAGGATGTGGCAGACAGGGGGTGGAGCCAGGCATCCCCAGGGGGTGGAGTTACATGCCAGGGCAGGATGTGGCAGACAGGGGGTGGGGCTAGGGACACCATGGGGGCAGAGTTGTGACAGAAGGGGGGCGGGGCCAGACACACCAAGGGGGGGAGTTATGTGACACAGGGGGCTGAGTTACATGCCTGGGCCGGATGTGGCAGACAGGGGGTGGGGCCAGGCATCCCCAGGGGGCGGAGTTACATGCCAGGGCAGGATGTGGCAGACAGGGGGTGGGGCCAGGCATCCCCAGGGGGTGGAGTTACATGCCAGGGCAGGATGTGGCAGACAGGGGGTGGGGCTAGGGACACCATGGGGGCAGAGTTGTGACAGAAGGGGGGCGGGGCCAGACACACCAAGCGGGGGAGTTATGTGACACAGGGGGCTGAGTTACATGCCTGGGCCGGATGTGGCAGACAGGGGGTGGGGCCAGGCATCCCCAGGGGGCGGAGTTACATGCCAGGGCAGGATGTGGCAGACAGGGGGTGGGGCCAGGCATCCCCAGGGGGTGGAGTTACATGCCAGGGCAGGATGTGGCAGACAGGGGGTGGGGCTAGGGACACCATGGGGGCAGAGTTGTGACAGAAGGGGGGCGGGGCCAGACACACCAAGGGGGGGAGTTATGTGACACAGGGGGCTGAGTTACATGTCTGGGCCGGATGTGGCAGACAGGGGGTGGGGCCAGGCATCTCCAGGGGGTGGAGTTACATGCCTGGGCCGGATGTGGCAGACAGGGGGTGGGGCCAGGCATCCCCAGGGGGCGGAGTTACATGCCAGGCCAGGATGTGGCAGACAGGGGGCGGAGTTACATGCCAGGGCAGGATGTGGCAGACAGGGGGTGGGGCCAGGCATCCCCAGGGGGTGGAGTTACATGCCAGGGCAGGATGTGGCAGACACGGGGTGGGGCCAGGCACACCAAGGGGGCAGAGTTATGTGGTGGGTGGGGGTGGGGCCAGGCCCACCCAGGGGGCGGAGTTACACGCCAAGCCATGATATGACAGGGGGTGGGGCCTGGGGTGGGGGGGGGGAGACGAAGACCAGGCAGCAGAGAAGCCGGGGGGGGGGAGGTCCTCCCCATCCCTGGGTCACACAGCAGTACCCCCCCACCCCTTCCCCAGAGACCACACGCTGCAAGTAGAGGGTCCCCGTTTATTGGGGGTGTCACAGATATCCAGGGAAGGGTGAACCCCTTTCAAATCCCTCCTGGCCAGAGGAAAACTCCTCTCACCTGTAAAGGGTTAAGGAGCTAAAGGTGACCTCGCTGGCCCCTGACCCGAATGACCCACGAGGGGACAAGATACTTTCAAAGCTGGGGGGGGAGAACAAACAAAGGGTCGGGGGCTGTCTGGGGGATGCTTTGGCCGGGGACGGACCGGGAAGGGAGCCTGAGGGCGGAGCAGGTCACCTCGGGCGTCCGATTTCCTGAAATGGCGGCGAGAAGAGCTGTCCTGAATAGTGACTGGCCCTGGCTGTGTCTTTTTTTTGTAATTTAAGGTTTTGCCGAGAGGGCTTCCCTCGGTTTCGCATCGAATGCCCCTGTAGAGTATCCCCCAGCCCGAGTTTACAGAGCTGAGTCCGTCACTGCCATTAAAAGTCGTCTTGTAAGGAAACCGAAACGTGTTTTCATTGTTCTCAGAGCCGAGGGTTTGGGGCTGTGGTCACCTATGCAAATGGGTGAGGGTTTTTAACCAAACCTTCCCCAGGAAGTGGGGTGCAAGGGTTGGGAGGATTTTGGGGGGGAAAGACGTCTCCAAAGGACGTTTCCCAGTAAACCCCGTTAGAGTTTGGTGGTGGCAGTGGAAAGCCAGGGGCAAAGGATGAAAATTCATTTGTACCTCGGGGAAGTTTGAACCCAAGCTGCTGAAAGTAAGCTTAGGAGGTTTTCATGCAGGTCCCCCCCTCTGTACCCTCGAGTTCAGAGTGGGGAAGGAACCTTGACGGGGGGCAGGGGGCCGCGTCGGCACGGGCCCCTCCCCAGAGCTGGGCGCCCCGCGGCCCGGGCGGGGGCTCACTTGTGGTAGAAGCGCTGGCCCTGGATGAAGGGGAGACGAGAGGCCGGCTGGCCGCTGGCGGGGAAGCCCGACTGCAAGAGACAGACAGACAAGGGTTAACGAGGGGGGGGGGCTGGGCAGTGGAATCCTTCCCCCCCCCCCAGACTGTGCCCCCGAGGGGCTGTGCCAGAGTCACCCCCCCACACACTCACCGTGTGGGCCTGCTGGGGGGTGGAGCCGTGGGGGAAGCTGCCAGGGGAGGCCAGGCCCGACTGTGGGGAGCAAAGACGGGTGAGTTAGAGATGGGGGGGGTTGGCCCCCCAGAGAATGGGGTATGGGGGGAGGGTTGCTCACCTTGCTGGCCGGCTGCATCTGGACAGGGAGCTGGGGGCTGGGCAGCAGGGTCTGGTTGGGGTGCAGGGCCTGGGGGTGCATCGGGCGCAGGGTTGACTGCGGAGAAAGGAGCAGAGTGTTGGGGAGAGACCCCCACCGGGCACGGGCCCTGGGCCCCATTCCCACCCCGTCCCCGTCCTGGGGCCGGATGGGAGCCGGCGCCCCCTAGAGGGGACAGGCCCCTGCCCCATTCCCCGCCCCCCTGAGCCAGCCAGTCCCCGCCTGGGGCCGGAGGGGAGCCGGTGCCCCCTAGAGGGGACAGGCCCCTGCCCCATTCCCCGCCCCCCTGAGCCAGCCAGTCCCCGCCCTGGGGCCGGAGGGGAGCCGGTGCCCCCTAGAGGGGACAGGCCCCTGCCCCATTCCCCGCCCCCCTGAGCCAGCCAGTCCCCGCCCTGGGGCCGGATGGGAGCCGGCGCCCCCTAGAGGGGACAGGCCCCTGCCCCATTCCCCGCCCCCCTGAGCCAGCCAGTCCCCGCCCTGGGGCCGGATGGGAGCCGGCGCCCCCTAGAGGGGACAGGCCCCTGCCCCATTCCCCGCCCCCCTGAGCCAGCCAGTCCCCGCCTGGGGCCGGAGGGGAGCCGGCGCCCCCTAGAGGGGACAGGCCCCTGCCCCATTCCCTGCCCCCCTGAGCCAGCCAGTGCCCGCCCTGGGGCCGGAGGGGAGCCGGTGCCCCCTAGAGGGGACAGGCCCCTGCCCCATTCCCCGCCCCCCCTGAGCCAGCCAGTCCCCGCCCTGGGGCCGGAGGGGGAGCCGGCGCCCCCTAGAGGGGACAGGCCCCTGCCCCATTCCCTGCCCCCTGAGCCAGCCAGTCCCCGCCCTGGGGCCGGAGGGGAGCCGGTGCCCCCTAGAGGGGACAGGCCCCTGCCCCATTCCCTGCCCCCCTGAGCCAGCCAGGCCCCGCCCTGGGGCCGGGGGACTCACCGAGTCGGTGAAGCCGGACTGCTGGTTGGCGTGTTCCAGTTGTTTCTGCAGGGGGATGGTTGTGCTGGGGGGAATGAAACCTGTGAGAGAGAAAGAAGGGGGGGCCGGGCTCAGTGCTGGGAGGGCAGCCGATGAAGGGGCAGGGCTCCGTCTCATGCCAGGCTCAGTGGGCAAGGAGGGGGAGTGTTTGGGGGTCTCATGCGGGCGGGGGTTGTCGGGGGTCTCACCTGGCCAGGCAGGGGAGGGGGTGTTGGGGGGGTCTCACGCGGATGGGCAGGTGAGGGGATCTCACCTCGCTGGACGGGGGAGGAGGTGTCGGGGGGGCGTCGTCTCACCTGGCCGGGGGGGAGGAGAGGTCTCACGCGGGCGGGGGGTGTCGGGGGTCTCACCTGGCCAGGCAGGGGAGGGGGGTGTTGGGGGTCTCAGGCGGACGGGCGGGGGAGGGGGGGATCTCACCTGGACGGGCGGGGGGGGGAGTGTTGGGGGGTCTCAGGCAGGCGGGCGGGGGAGGAGAGGTCTCACGCGGGCGGGGGGGTGTCAGGGGAGGGGGGGGTCTCACCTGGCCAGGCAGGGGAGGGGGTGTTGGGGGTCTCAGGCGGACGGGCGGGGGAGGGGGAGATCTCACCTGGCCGGGCGGGGGGGGCGGGGAGTGTTGGGGGTCTCGGGCGGGCGGGGGAGGAGAGGTCTCACGCGGGCGGGGGGGGTGTCAGGGGAGGGGGGGGGTCTCACCTGGCCAGGTGGGGGGGGGGGAGTGTTGGGGGTCTCAGGCGGGCGGGCGGGGGAGGAGAGGTCTCACGCGGGGCGGGGGGTGTCGGGGTCTCACCTGGCCAGGCAGGGGAGGGGGTGTTGGGGGTCTCAGGCGGACGGACGGGGGAGGGGGGGGATCTCACCTGGCCGGGCGGGGGAGGGGGGTGTCGGGGGTCTCAGGCAGGCGGGCGGGGGAGGGGGGATCTCACCTGGCCGGGCGGGGGGAGGGGGGTGTTGGGGGGTCTCAGGCGGGCGGGGGAGGAGAGGTCTCACGCGGGCAGGGGGTGTCGGGGGTCTCACCTGGCCAGGCAGGGGAGGGGGGTGTCGGGGGTCTCAGGCAGACGGGCGGGGGAGGGGGGATCTCACCTGGCCGGGCAGGGGAGGGGGTGTCGGGGGTCTCAGGCGGAGGAGGGGGGGATCTCACCTGGCCAAGCAGGGGAGGGGGGTGTCGGGGGTCTCAGGCGGACGGGCGGGGGAGGGGGGATCTCACCTGGCCAGGCAGGGGAGGGGGGTGTCGGGGGTCTCAGGCAGACGGGCGGGGGAGGGGGGATCTCACCTGGCCGGGCGGGGGGGGGGGTGCGTCGGGGGTCTCACCTGGCTGGGCGGGGGGGAAGTGTCCGTGAAGTGCGTACCCCGGCGGCTGCTGCGACAGGTACTGCATGGCGGGGAAGGCCGAGGGGCCTGTGGGGCAGAGAGCGGGGGGGGTCAGAGCTCTGTCCCGGCCCGGGGCCCCCCCTCCCCGCCCCCCGCGGGCCCCGACTCACCGCGGATGGGCTGGCTGCTGGCGTAGCTGACGGGCCCGGCCTGGCCCGGGGCGAAGTGCTGGGCCTGCCCCACGGCGTAGGGGCTGGGCCCGGCCTGCCCGCTCTGGTACTGCCCGTGCTCTGGGGTGCCGGGCGCGAAGGCCGGCTGGGTGGCGAAGTGCCGCGGCTGCTAGACAGAGGGGGGGGCGGGGAGGGGGGGGTCAGTGGCCCCGCAGCGACCCCCGCCCCGCGGAGGGGATCTGCCCCCACCCAGCCCCCCGACACTCACCGTGATCACGGGGGGCGCGAAGATCTGCTTGCTCCGGTCGGCCGAGATCAGCGTCCCGGCCCGGCTGTGTCCGCCGGGGCTCCCTGCCGAGAGAGCGGGGTGAACCGGGGGGGGTCCCACACTCGCCCCCCCAGGACTGCTGCCACCCCCGGCCTGCCCTGGGCTCCCTCGCAGCCCCCCGGCTGCTCCAACCCCCTCCCACCTGCCGTGCTCCCCCGCCCCCAGCCTTCCCCACCCCTCCGGCCTCCCTGATCCTTCCAGTTCCCCCCACAGCCCCTTCCCCACCCCCCCCACCCTGCCTGTCACCCCATAGCCTCCCTGATCCTCCCCCACCCCCCGGCCTCGCTGTCACCCCTGCAGCCCCCCCCAACATTCTGCACCCCCTTAGCCTTCCCATCACCCCTGATCCTCCCCCTGGCCTGCCCTCAGATCCTGCCCCCCAGACCCGGCCCCGTACCCTGCATGTTGAGGATGTGGGTCCCGGCGTGCGCGACCATGCCCTGCTGATAGGGTGCCGCCGTCAGCGTGGTCAGGTCGCTGTAGGGGTTAAGAGTGAGAAGCGGCTGGCACGGGGCCCGCTGCCCCCCGTCTGCCCCGCCACCCTGCCGCACGCAAAGTCACTGCAGCAGGGAGTTCCCCAGTTTAACACAGTCACCTCTTCACCCACCGCCCCCACCCCCGCCCAGTTCGCGCTTCATCCCAGTGCTCTCTGGTGGCCCCCCGAGCCAGGACAGGACCCTTCCCGCCCCCCCCCCGCCAGGACAGGACCCTCCCTGCCCACCCCTCCCCGTTCCCCACCTCACCTCTGCTCCTTGCGCCGGCGCTTCTCCTCCTCGTGCAGCACCTTCTTCAGCTGCAGAAAGAGCTGATGCTTCTCCTCCTGCAGGGCCTGGAGCCTTTCCCCCAGCTTACTGATCTGGGGGGGGGCGGGCGGGGGAGGAAGTGGGGCAGCATGAGATGGGGGGCTGGGATATGGGGGAGCCCCTCCCTGAGGACAGGGCCTGGAGACCCGTTGCTGAGGGGGCCTGGGATCCGGGGGAGCCCCTCACAGAGGGCAGGGCCCAGAGACCCATTGCTGGGGGGGGCTGGGATCTGGGGGAGCCCCTCACGGAGGGCAGGGCCTGGAGACCCGTTGCTGGGGGGGGCGCTGGGATCCGGGGGAGCCCCTCACAGAGGGCAGGGCCCAGAGACCCATTGCTGGGGGGGGCTGGGATCCAGGGGGAGCCCCTCACAGAGGGCAGGGCCTGGAGACCCGTTGCTGGGGGGGGGGGGCTGGGATCCGGGGGAGCCCCTCACGGAGGGCAGGGCCCGGAGACCCGTTGCTGGGGGGGCGCTGGGATCCGGGGGAGCCCCTCACGGAGGGCAGGGCCCGGAGACCCATTGCTGGGGGGGGCTGGGATCTGGGGGAGCCCCTCACGGAGGGCAGGGCCTGGAGACCCATTGCTGGGGGGGGGCTGGGATCCAGGGGGAGCCCCTCACGGAGGGCAGGGCCCGGAGACCCGTTGCTGGGGGGGGGCTGGGATCCAGGGGAGCCCCTCACAGAGAGCAGGGCCCGGAGACCCACCACGGGCATGGGGAGTGCCATGAACGGGGGCGGGGGGGGATGACTGATGTCAGACTGCAAAGCGGGGAACCCGGATCCCCCTACCCTGCCCGGCTCACAACCCCCGGCCCCAGCAGGGTTGAAGGGGGGGTGGGGGACCCCCGCGGACCCCCCCCCCAGCTCACCTGCTCTTTGGTCTCCTCCAGCGACATGCGCTCCTCCATCTCCTTCTTCCGGCGCCGCTCCTGTTCCTCCCTCATCTTCTGCTCCATCATCTTGTCCACCTCTTCCTCCTCTGCGGGGACACAGCCGGGGTCAGGCCGGCCGCCCCCCGCCCCCGGGGGGGGAGATCCCGGCTGATGCAGGGGCCCTCGCGTGGAAACGCTCCCAGCTGAGGACGGCCAACTCGTCACAGCCCGTCCCGCCCCCAGGAAAAACACACCACCACAAGAGCCGGGGAGCGGATCTGCGGGCCCCCCCCCCCACGCACACACGCTGAGGGGCCGCACAACGGGGGCTGGGGGGGGGGTGGCAATTCAGGCTGGAAAGTAGCGGAAAGTTTCGACGTGTCGGGGGGGGGCGGGGCAGGGGGGTTGCAGCCGGTTTCGAAGGGAAACCGGAGTCGATCCGAACCACGGGCCTCCACGGCTTCCCGTCCCTTCCGAGCGTGGGGTCCCCCCCTTTTGTCATCCGCGGACCCCTAACCAAGTCTGCAAGGCAGGCGGGGGGCCCCTTTGGAAAGGGGGGACCGAGGGCGCGGCCCCACGGACCGTGGGTCGCAAACGGGTCCCGTCCAAAAGGAAGACGGCGAAACCGCAAAATTCGTTACAACTTTGCGGCCCAGCCCCCGTTCTCGGGGGAAACGTCTCCCTGTGGGGGAGTGGGGGGGGGGGCAGGCTTTATAAACCCGCCCCCCCCTCCGTTCCCCGTTTAATTAAAAAGAGAAAGCTCCGGCCTCGTTAGGGCTCCTGTTCGTTACCAGCCACCAGGTTTAGGCCGGGCGAGCGCGGAAGGAAAGGCGGCTGGCTTGGAACGGGGATCCCCGGGCGGGCTGGGCTTGGGGGGGGGGCCGGGGGTCCCTGGCGAAGGCGGAGGAGGCTGGTTGGGGACCGCATCCCAGTCACCCGATTGGGCTCCAAGGGAGGACGTGGGGTGGGGGAGGAATTGGGAGGGCGGGGCCCCGGGGGAGAGAGTTGTGGGGGTGCCCAGGTGGCAGCAGGAGGTGGGGGAGGGTGGGGGGGGTCCCTGGGGCAGTATGGTGGGGGGAGGGGTTTGAGGGGGTAACCCGGGGACAGTAGGATGTTGGCGTTTGGGACAGGGGGTCAGTGGGGGAGTGTGGTGGGGGAAGGTGTGGGGAGTTGGTGGGGGAGCGTAGGAGGGGCTGGGGGGGTCCCTGGGACAGTATGGGGGGAGGGGACCGGGTCTGGGGGGTCCCTGGGGCAGTACAGGGGGAGGGGAGGAGTCTGGAGGGGTCCCGGGGGGAGGGAGGGGTCTGAGGGGTCCCTGGGGCAGTACTGGGGGAGGGGAGAGGGGTCTGGGGTGTCCCTGGTGGGGGGAGGGAGGAGTCTGGGGGGTCACTGTGGCAGTACGGGGGGAGGGGAGGGAAGGGGTCCCTGGTGGGATCCCTGAGGCAGTACGGGGGGAGGGGAGAGGGGTCTGGAGGGGTCCCTGGTGGGGGGGAGGGGAGGGGTCTGGGGGGATCCCTGGGGCAGTACTGGGGGGGAGGGAAGAGGGGTCTGGGGGGTCCCTGGTGGGGGGGAGGGGAGGGGTCTGGGGGTCCCTGGGTGCAGTAATGGGGAGGGGAGGGGGTCTGTGGGGGGTCCCTGGGGCAGTATGGGGGGAGGGGAGAGGGGTCTGTGGGGGGTCCCTGGGGGCAGTACGGGGGGAGAGGAGAGGTCTGAGGGGTCCCTGGGGGCAGTACGGGGGGAGGGGTCTGTGGGGGGTCCCTGGGGGCAGTACGGGGGGAGAGGAGAGGTCTGAGGGGTCCCTGGGGGCAGTACGGGGGGAGGGGAGAGGGGTCTGGAGGGGTCCCTGGGGGGCAGTACGGGGGGAGGGGAGAGGTCTGAGGGGTCCCTGGGGGCAGTACGGGGGGAGGGGTCTGGAGGGGTCCCTGGGGGCAGTACGGGGGGGGGGGAGAGGTCTGAGGGGTCCCTGGGGGCAGTACGGGGGGAGGGGTCTGTGGGGGGTCCCTGGGGGCAGTACGGGGGAGGGGAGAGGGGGTCTGGAGGGGTCCCTGGGGGCAGTACGGGGGAGGGGAGAGGAGAGGTCTGAGGGGTCCCTGGGGGCAGTACGGGGGGAGGGGTCTGTGGGGGGTCCCTGGGGGCAGTACGGGGGGAGGGAGAGGGGTCTGGAGGGGGTCCCTGGGGGCAGTACGGGGGGAGGGGAGAGGGGGTCTGGAGGGGGTCCCTGGGGGGGGTGGGGGAGGGGTCTGGGGGTCCCTGGGCGCAGTATGGGGAGGGGAGGGGTCTGTGGGGGGTCCCTGGGCGCAGTACGGGGGGAGGGGGTCCCTGGTGGGGGGGGGGGAGGGGTCTGTGGGGGGTCCCTGGGGGCAGTACGGAGGGAGGGGAGGGGTCTGTGGGGGGGAGGGGAGGGGTCCCTGGTGGGGGGGAGGGGAGAGGTCTGGGGGGGTCCTTGGGGCAGTATGGGGGGGAGGGGACCGGGTCTGGGGGGTCCCTGGGGGCAGTACGGGGGGAGGGGGTCTGTGGGGGGTCCCTGGGGGCAGTACGGGGGGAGGGGAGAGGGGTCTGGAGGGGTCCCTGGGGGCAGTACGGGGGGAGGGGAGAGGGGTCTGGAGGGGTCCCTGGGGGGGGGGGTGGGGAGGGGTCTGGGGGTCCCTGGGCGCAGTATGGGGAGGGGAGGGGTCTGTGGGGGGTCCCTGGGCGCAGTACGGGGGGAGGGGTCCCTGGTGGGGGGGAGGGGAGGGGTCTGTGGGGGGTCCCTGGGGGCAGTACAGGGGGAGGGGAGGGGTCTGTGGGGGGAGGGGAGGGGTCCCTGGTGGGGGGGGAGGGGAGAGGTCTGGGGGGTCCTTGGGGCAGTATGGGGGGGAGGGCTCTGGGGGTCACGGGTGGGGGGAGGGGCCAGGGGTGTGGCTGATTAAGGCCCCGCCCCCAGGTCGGTGGTGGGGGCGGGGTCAGGAGGTGGGGCGGGGCTGGAGCCGCCAGCCCAGGGCGGGCCGGGGAGTGTCAGCTGATCGGTGACGTGGGAGGCGTTGCCGGGTGATGCCGGAGTTGAGGCGCGCGCGTGGAGTTGAGGGGGCGGGGCTGGGGGCGCTGTTGCCGGGTGACGCCGCGGCGCGCGGAGTTGGGGGGGGGGGGGAGGGGGCGGGGCTGGGGGCGCTGTTGCCGGGTGACGCCGCGGCGCGCGGAGTTGGGGGGCAGGGGGCGGGGCTGGGGGCGCTTGTTGCCGGGTGACGCCGCGGCGCGCGGAGTTGAGGGGCAGGGGGCGGGGCTGGGGGCGCTGTTGCCGGGTGACGCCGCGGCGCGCGGAGTCGGGGGCGGGAGGGGGAGGAGGGGGCGGGGCTCACCCTGCCGCTTGCGCTCGCGCTCCACCATGACGTGGCGGTGCAGGGCGCGCGCCATGGCCGAGGAGAGCTTGGGCCGCTCCAGCAGCGCCGGCATCTTCGCTCCCCGCCGGAAAGCCCCGCCCCTCCCCCGCGCTTCCGCTTCCGGGGCACGGCCCGCCCCCTGCGCCTCACCCCGCCGGGTCACAGCGAGGCTTGGCTCCGCCCCCGCGCCTCACACGGCCCCCGCCCCCTCCTGGCGGGTCATAGCGAGGCTCCGCCCCCCCTTGGTTCACAGCGAGGCCCGGCCCAGCCCTTCAAAGATCCCCGCCCCCGAGGGTCACAACGAGGCTCGGCCCTGCGCCTTCCGCTAGCTTCACGGGGAGACGCGCCCCCCTCACCCGCGCGAGAGCGAGGCTCGGCCTCGGCCCCGCCCCCGGCGCGCGAGAGCGAGGCTCGGCCCCGCCCCTCGCCCAGTGGTGGCAGCAGTGGGATCCCGACGAAGCTCGAACTCCTCTCCCGGCGGGGGAGGGGGGACAGACCTGCCCGGTTCCGAGGCATGGGGGGGGGGGCAAGGAGGAGAGGCAGGCAGCAGAGGGGCCCCCACCGGCAGCATGAGGCCAAGGGGCAGGGCCAAACCACTCCTAGAGAGGGTGGGGGACCCCATTGCTCCCCCCCAGTCCCAGAGAAAGGGCCCACCCCCAACTGGGAACCCAGCAAGGCAGGGGGCTCACCTCCCTCCAAGAATCTAGGGCATGGCTATGAAGGACTGTGCCCCCCCATTCTAGAGCTGGGGGGAGAACCCACCTCCTGGGGTACCCTGGGAACCCCACATCGGGTGCATGGGCATCACCTCCAGGGCTGCAGGGAGCCACACAGGGCATGGGCCTCTGGGGAGGAATCACGGGGGGGGGGTATTTCTGCACTAGGGAACCCCCCCCCCCTCAGGGCTGGGGGTGACACACAGACAGACACAGACACAGATGAGGTGGTTGCATGGCGGTTTATCAATCGGGGTAGGGGGGCTCCAGGGACACCCCCTCTGCACCCCACGTTCAACTCCACCTCACAACACAGCTCTGCCTCCCCCCCCCCTCACCTTACATGGAAAAGCAGCTTAAATAAAAACTTTAAAAAAAAAGTAACGGGGGGGTGGAGGGGAGCTGAACCTGCCCCCCTGCCCCACCTCCCCCCGGAAATTCACATTTCAACAACACCAACAGGTAATAAATAAGGAGGGGAGGGGAGGGGGGAGAGACAGAGACGGGCTGATGTGTGGGGGGGTGGGAACTGGCACACTGGGGGTAGGAACAGAGGGCTGGGGGGGAAAAAGGAACAGGGTGGAGGAAAGTGGTAGCGGGGGGGGGGGGGCAGGGTCACTTAGCTGACACATCCCCCCCAGCCCAAGCAGGGGGCAGATTAGTAACCCCAGTAAGTGCTAAAATGCAACACACCACCCCCCAGATCAGGGGCTGGGGCACCCCCTCCACAATACCAGGAGAATCACCTCCCCCCAATCAAGGGAACAAAGAACAAGTGTGTGTGTGTGTGTGTGTGTGTGTGTGTGTGTGTAACAGAACAAATCCCCCCCACACTGCCCCTGGACTAGTCCAACCTCTGCCCCTGGCAATAATTGAGTCGAGCACTCCCCCCCTCGAAATGTTCAATGGAAAAATCCCAGCCAAGGGCACAGCTGAGCCAGCCGCCCCCCCCCAGAACAAAGGGCCCATGTGCTCTGGAGGAAGCAGTGGTGCCCCCCCCCAGGCACAGAGAGGCACCCCTGCCCACGGCAATCCATCAGAGCATGCCAGGGGGGGAAGGGGGCATGTCTTCTCTACCCCTCCCAACTGGATTATTTTTGGGGGTCCCTCCCCCATCGAGGTAGATCCCCCCCCTTTAAAAAAAATTAAGTCCTTCATGGTGCAATCAATTGCAACCCACTATCTCCCAGCATGCTGTACGAGCCCCCCCCCCCCCCAAAATCCTTAGCTTTTTCTATGTGCAAAATACAGCTCTGGCCACCAGAGGGAGCTGTGTGTATGGGGAGCGGATGTTCCCCCCCCCCCCAACCTTTAAAACAGTGTCAGACTCTTTGTATCTTGTCCAAATTCTCCCCCCCCCCACCAGGCTTTGCCAGAGGAGGAGGGAGCCCCCCCCACAAAAGAAAGGCAGCCTCTTCTAGTGCCCTGCCCCCTGCTGGGCACGGGGGGGGGCACGTGGTGCAAAGAGACTCCCCCAGAAATACAGTCCTCCTCTGGAATCCGGGGGGGTGTCTTACAGCCGGAAGCCTCCCCCCCCCAGCGTCCGACACCCCCTGCTGGTCCAAGGTGTGCAGGGGGGGTGGGGAGAGATGTGCAGAGCTCCCCCTCCCCCAGGCCATGGGGGGGGTTGGTGTTAGAGCTCTCCCCGCCAGCCGCGGGGGGGGGGTGGGGGTCACTCCACACGCACCAGCAGGCCGTAGAGCACAGTAGCCCCCTTCTCCTTGGTGACCCACTCGAGCTCGGCAGCGCTGAAGCGGGGGTCCGGGGGCTCGGGGGCGCCGGCCGACGGGGGGCCCGGCTTGTAGGAACCGGGGCGCACGCACACCTGGAAGGCCACCTGCGCCCCGTGCTGCCGCTGAGACTTGGGGTCCCGGAATCTGTGGGGGTGGGGAGAGAGAGAGAGGGGTCAGGGACTCACTGCTCTCCCCCCCGCAGCCCCCCTGGCGCCCCCCGGTGGCGGGCAGGACTCACTGCACTTTGGTGGCGAAGGCCTCCAGGCCGGCGTAGCGCAGGGTGGGCGAGAGCAGGACACGTTGGGGCTCGGCCCCCCGATCCGGGGAGCTGTTCTCGGGCTCATGGTAGCCCCCGCCCTGGGGGTCCGCCTTGGCAGGCCGGCAGCTCAGGATGGACGCACTGCCTGAGGGGGGGGGGGGGGAACGGGACAGCCACTCAGCAAGTTTGGATCCGTCCCCCCCACAGCCCCCCCACCCAAACACCGCCCCCCTCCGCAGGTCGGAGGAGTCTGCATCAGGCCTGGTCATGTTTGATGCATGTGACCCTCGGGGAGTGGAGTGGGGTCCTGCAAGGGGGGCTTGGAGCCAGGACTCCTGGGTTCACTCCCCAGCTCTGGGAGAGGAAGTGGAGTCTCATGGTTAGAGCAGGGTGGGCTGGGAGCCAGGACGCCTGGGTTCTCTCCCCAGCTCTAGGAGGGGAGTGAGGTCCAGCAGGGGGGTCTGGCAGCCAGGACTCCTGGGTTCTCTCCCCGGCTCTGGGAGAGGAAGTGGAGTCGAGCAGTTAGAGCGGGGGGAAGCCAGGAGTCCTGGCTTCCATCGCCAGCTCTGGGCGGGGCGCGATGGGCTCGGTACCGGATTCCTCCTACCTGCTCCCAACTCCCCTTGGTCCAGCATCCTCCGGACGGCGCCTACACTTGTGCCGTGATAAGCCATGTGCCACTTCTTACAGGTGCTGGCCACCTCCAGCTGGGGGTTCACCCTGCCGGGGCGGGGGGTATCAGAGCCGTGAACCTGCCCCCAAGCCCCACATCTCCACTCCAGACCCCTCCCCGCCCAGCCTTCCCCCTTCCAGTCCGATCCCCCTGTCCCCCAATTGGGACCCAGAGCCCCCTCCTGCCCAGACGGGTACCTGAGGTTGAAACGGCACCATCCGAAGGGCAGGGCGTAGTCCCGGGGGGGCTCCCCCCGCTTGTAATAGGCCTCGTCCCCCCGCAGCTTGTGGCATGACTCACAGTAGCAGAGGCTGAATTTAGGATCTTCCGCGAAGTAGTCATCTGGGAGGGAAGGGGGGGGGCGCGAGTCAGGTGTTGGGCGGTGAGGGGGGGGAAGGCAGCCCCCCTTTTCCTTCCCCTCCACAGGAGAGCTACCCTGAGCCTGATGCATGGGGTGTTAACTCTGAACCCTAATGACAACATTCACCATCCAGCTCCCCCTAGCATGCGTTTGAAACCAGCCGGCCCCGTTTGGTCGCACACATGGCTCGATCCGGGGCGGGTTAACGAGGAGCAGGGCGCCCCACCCCGATGCCCACGGAGAGGCAGGTCCCGGCTCACCTGGCAGCAGGAGGAGATCCTTGAAGCGGGCGCAGAGGGCGTGGTACTCGCAGGTCTTCATGGTGTTCATGTCCACGGGGGGCGTCCAGCACACACTCTCCTTAATGCCTGCAACAGAGAAAGAGGGGATAGCCAGCCCGCCCCTGCCCCACACGCCCTAGAGGCTCAGAGGGGAGGGCACAGCCCCAGCCCCTCACCTGGGCAGATTCCGGCCCCCCGCCCAGCAGAGGGCAGCCCAACTCCATCACTCACCATCCACCATGTCCGCCTTCTCCATGTCTGCCTGGGCGTGGGGGTCCGCGCTCTCCCCTCCCAGCGCCGGGGTGTCGTTCGTTACTATGGTAACCTGGGGGGACAAATGCCCTGGTTGGGGGGAGCTGGGTGCCAGGGTTCTTTCCCTGGCTCTGGGAGGGCAGTGGGGGCTGGCAGGTTAGAGTGGGGGAGCTGGGAGCCAGGACTCCTGGGTTCTCTCCCCGGCTCTGGAAGGGGAGTGGGGGGGCTAGTGGTTAGAGCAGGGGGGCTGGGTTCTCCCCCCTCCGGGGGTGGGGCTCACCTGCTCGCACTGCCCGTAGAGGTCGACGAGCACATAGCAGGGGGTGGGGATGTCCTGGGCGGCCACCCCCTGGTCCATCCCGTTGACGTAGACGTGGAGGCAGCTGCTCGAGTCCACCAAGAGTCCCAGCACCGTCCCCTCGGGGCACGTGTCCAGATTGGGCCCGTAGTTCTCACAGATCTGGGGGGGGGGGGGAGGAGAGACCATAGCGAGCTCCAGAAAGGCCCCCGGCCCCATTCCCCGCCCCAGCCCGCCGGGAGCCGGCGCCCCCTAGAGGGGGCAGGGCAGGCCCCGGGCCCGTCCGCACCTTGAGCGAGTTGTGGAAGACGGAGTCACGCTGCAGGAGCCAGGCGGAGCGCTTGAGGGAGCAGGCCGTGGCAGGGAAGTTGAGGCGCTCGGGCGAGGTGCCAATGACACCCAGGGACAGGGACGACGTCCACTGGGGGTTCAGGAAGTCGATCTGAACCTGGAAAGAGGAGGCGGGGGAGAGTGGGAGAGTTCCCATGATGCCGTTGGAGAGGAAGTGATGTCAGAAGCCACTGGGACCCACCTCCCATAGGGCACCTAA